TTATGACCACTAAAAACCCTCATTTAGAGGGAATGAAAATAAAGGTCTTAGTGTAGAAACACATGCAACAAAGTGAGTGTGCACGTGTGTGCATGATCACTGAAACAAAACTGAGTGCAACTGAGAACACTCCTATAAAATAAACCATAAACATTTAACCTTCCTCATGTATTTCTTTATTCAAAAGTATGGAAAGAGCTGCCGGGGGAAATAAAAAAGTCTGATGAAACTTTAAAAAGGCTACAAGAGCAGAGGTGGCCAACTATAAATATGTGAAAACACAGTTGCAGGACAAATTGGGAAATAAAAAGTCTTGGGAAATTGGGAATGTAAATTGATTCATAACACTAATCAGAGCCGCAATGGTAGTCCTACTAAGATCACACCACAGACAGCAGAGGTGAATATGAGAAGAGAAAGCGCTTCAGACTTGGCACAGGGATTATCAATGGAAGTCAGTGTTTCTGTGCCAGTGTGGACAATGTTAAGGACATTGCACAATGTCAGTCTCAGCGGATGGCGTCTGACGCTTGTTTGCTATTCAGCACAAAACTGCAAGATTCAATTTAGCTATAGAACATCAACGTATATTTGATGACTGGATAATCATTGTTCAATGAGCTCCTCGTGATCTTGACCAACATAAATATATTTGGCATCAGGATGTTTGGTACAAAGCTCGCCAGGACTACCATATTGTCTCAACACTGAAGTACAGAGGTGGGAGGACAGGAGCATGACTTTTATAGATGGCACCGTAAATCCTAATGGATTTACCAAACTATGGACTGAAAAGACAACATAGTACCACATAATTACTAGTTACAGAAGTAGAAGGACTCAAATTACCACAAGGTTTATAACATTTGGCTCAAATGTTAAAAACAGATTTGTATACAAATTTTACCAGAAGTGTGGCTTTGCTAAACCAGAGAATTCTTTATTATTGTGAAAAGGAGATAGCTGCTACAGCTGGGACATATCTCAGTGTAGAACTTTGACAAATACAGAAAATATTTGCCAGTGATTTCCACTTAAATGTTCCCATAAAACACAAAAGTAAACTAAAGCCAAATTATTTCTTTATACTAACACGTATAACATCATTTTAAAGAGCATAGCTTGTCACGGATCCAGAAGCCTGGGTTTTTTAAGCGTATACCCATTCAATTTGTGTCCCGTGAAAATTTGTGACGTTCACTCCTAAAACTATTCAACCTGTGAATTTGGTCATTTTCTTTCCAAAGGAATTACCCCACCTACGTGGAAATTTAGCTCTAAAACCTGTTGCAATGCAGGCTGGTTCTAAAAAGGTATCAATTTAAAACTTGCTTTTACATAATTTCAATAACTCTTAGACTTTATATAGATTCCAAATGAGTTTTGTTTTCAGCAACGAAGTGACAAAAACTGAAAAGTCTCATTTTGAACTACTATATTTATCTGGCATTTGAAATGTTTGAACAAGTGGAAGGGTTAACGATTAGCTTATTTCTTTCTCTCTTTTTTGACAATTCAAGGTTAAAGGTTCAAGTAAGAGGAGCTATTTATATATTTTTTCTTATCATTAAACCAGAGCATCTATTCCTGTGACACTAGGACATAAAGCAGGGCATGCACGCGACAAACACGGGACAGTGGGGAGCAGGCAAGCACATGTAGATGAGAAAGGCGCATGTGGCACGAGGTTCAGCCAAGAGCGCCTGGCAGCACCAGCTCATCCTAATCCACGTGCTTCCAGGGGACAGGGGACCACATGCTCATGTCTTGCATTACAGCCAGAACTTGAATTACATATTCTTTCCATTTATCATGATAGGTTTCTCAACAACTAAAACCTTTATATTAACACGAACGTTTTAAGCAGTTCAAAAGAACAGATGATTTATTTTACTTTAAACAGGCATGAAAGTATACTAAAAGTATACTAAAAGTATTCTAAACATTCATTTTGAAGGAAAACTGAGGTGTTTAATTTAGAAATTGAATTTAGAATTGTATAAATTATATATTATACAAATGTATGACATCAAATATATGTTAAATCAAACAGACAGGGACATTAAAGACTACATAAAAAGAAAATAGTTCCAGGAACAAAAAAGGGAGTGCTGTTAACTATAAAACATTTCTGTTTTTAGCTTTAACTACCCCCAAGTAGTTCTGAAATTGCCTTTTTGCTGAACTGCATAAATAGTAAATAAATAAACATGATAGACATTTATTTAAGCAACTTGATGCTTTGGTACAACTGTCTTCAATCTCTAAGGTTGAACCCTCTATAAATTCAATAAAATAATCTTGGCTTATTTTTCTTAGTCATCACATACAAGCTGCCTAAATCATTTAAAGGGTCATAAAATGAAGCACCACCACTAGAAAGCACACAAGGACGAAATTCAATGTGCAGTTGTGCAAGCAGACAATACAGTCTGTGTTTGTACAAAGATTTAGTTGAAAACATTAGGCTCAGTTGTCCGATAAAGGATGATTTGTAGAGCAATAGCAAACAGCCCAACAAATCTCCCCATATTTCATCAGTACAGGTGTTCAGGTGCACCCTGATGGTAGGTGAAGTTGTGAGTTACACATCCCAGAGGCTGACACTTTAGGATCTAGGAACCATAAAACGTCAAATTTTATTTTAAGCCTAATTGATACATCCCGAATTGTTCCAAAGCAAGTCAGTACAAGCACCTGTACAGGTCCGAGTAGATATAAAAGCTATTATTTATGATTATTTATGCAGGTTTTCCCAGATTCTCCTGTCTACAATCTTTATAATTAATGCTAGATGTAAAATGTTATAGACAATAATAAAGCAAAATTTTAAAAAGAGTAGGACATTTTATTTACGATTCACATTTTATTATACAATCATTATATAGTCACTGTGTTTAACACAGAAGATAAAAACGCTCAAACGTACGTAGGTTCATGACAAAAACACAAAGAAACAAAATACAACAGACAAGCGCACATATGCAGTTATAGAGAACAGCACCGGGTTTCAGGCTTGATAACACAGAACGAAGCCACCATGGAAAGAAGACAGTAAAAGATACTTCAAATTAGTTTAACCAGGATGGTTCAAAGACAGCTTGAGTTATCAGTAATGTCTTGATCCTTTTAGAAGAGTTTTACATTTGTTGGAACCATGGTTTTGAACTGATTTTGCGCATTTGTAGTAAAAAAAAATAGTTAAAAAAAAAACCAAAATTTCGTATCGTGTTGAAACCCAGCAAATACATAGATGTATTTTACATTGTGCAAATTATGCAATTATTATGCTTTATTAGCACTAAAGCAATTAAGGAGGCTTTAGTGTTAATAAAGCCACTGTAATGCTTTCTTTAAATGACCTCTCAACTTCAACTATCTAACAAGACAGGCCAAGATTAGTAGCATGACTTTGTACCTTGAGAATAAGAGATTACATATATTTATCAGCTGTAATTAAGTCTTTATTAACAAACACTATTTATTATTATTTTTTGTAATCTACAGTGTTACAAAGAAGATCTTCTGAATAACAAGACTTAACCATATATATCTGTGCCATACGTGAGTAAAGTGAAAAATCAGTGCAGTGCAATAATAATAAACCAACTATATTTTTTTTAATATTAAAAGCATATGTCCTACAGTTATCAAAAGGAAGTAAGAAGTAACTACAACCAGCTTTTTTTTAAAGGGGCTGTTTGATTCAATTTTTAGCCAAAATAGTTTGGTAAGTTATTTAAGCAAATAGTTAACTCTCATTAATTATGATTACTTGATAAACTGCAGGACATTTTTCTGAAGCACAGTTTGGTAACCAGGAGTTTGCAGCGGGAAGTACTGAGCAATTATACTCTGGGCATGTGTTTAAGGCAGCTTTTACACTGCATCACAAGAATGTTGCATTTTTAACGGGTGAATTACTGACAGTGCAGGTTGTTGTTTTATTTGAACAGTTAAAAAATACAAAATGATTAAATGTGACATCAATGCGAGAATAAAGTGATTGCAGTGGAAGCATTAAAGCAGGTACCCTGGCTTAAAGGCCTACGGATATTTTGATTCTTTGTTACTACATGGGGGAAAAAAATAATAAATGTTTTATGTTGTATGTTTTTATTACATTGTCTCTGACGGCTTTTATGTCTCATATTATGATTTGAACAATTAAGTGTCCCTTTTCGCATTTTTCCATGAAACACTGTTTTGAGAAAGAAGAATGAATGCAGTAATAATGTTGTATGAGGAAAACCTATCAAAGTAACCACTTTAATGAGTAAATTGTAAAGTCAGGCTTCTGGGATATAGACATAAAACCTAAACATTTACCGAGGGAATGGGAAACCTTTGTGTTTTCTATAATCTTTCCCATATGGGTCAGTACACACAGAGCAATAATTTTGTCCATCAGATCCAGAATTTATCATTATTGTTCATTTGAAGTCCAGTTATTGTCTCTACTGAGGGAAATATCTTACTCTTTCATGTTCTCCAGACAGTCTAATGTATGGTGTTGAGTAGATTTCACTCAGCACTCCTTGGAAAACATGTCTGCTGCAGCCAAAAATGATGCATGAATGCCATGAGTTAGAAATCGAAATATTGAGCTGAAATTTGAACAGCTGCTATCTAACATTTTATTATTATTAATTGTCTTTCAGGAGATTTCTTGGGGTTACAAAACATTAGACTAAATAGCCAAGGCAATTCTTTAGGACAAGTACAAATATAAATACAAAATCTATGGCTCATTGTGGAATATTTCAGTCATCATATATTAACATGTCAGTGCATATTCATCCACAGGGAACAAACTTGGGGGATAAAAGCTTAAAAAATCCACTCTGAACAGAATTAGGGCTCTCTTTTCAATCTTAACTGTCTCATAAAATGCTGAACAAAAGTATTTTTGCCACACAATATAAACAATATCAACAAACGACTATGACTTTCTAATGACTTCAATATAAATAGACACCGGCGCATGATGGAGTCTGGTTCAACCCACAAAGATTATGAGACCCATGACAAAGATAATAATAACCTGACACATGACAGTTAGACTGACTTAAATACAACATTTCACAGGTCTCTTTAATGTGACACATGAGTACAGCTGGCTGCGTCCCACATGGATAAAACACTGACTTCCACGCACTGTGCACCTGTCAGGTTCCTGCTCAAACTCCTAGCCACTTTGTTCACCACACAAGGCTTATCTGCTCATTCTGCACTATAATGACCCGAGGACAAAACCCCACACTGGGGTTTCGATAGGGACCAAAGTCAAACACATACACCCTCTCTCACAGTACCTGGAAACCAATCTTTTTCCCCCAATATGTCACAGTCGAACACATCTAGTCAACACACGCATTTAAGCAGCTTGGGGTCGAAAGATCTTGACAGCCATTGCAGAAAAACATTCACCATTTCCCCACCTACCACATTTCCACACATTTCCAGCAAAAGGAAAATCTTAAGCCAGCCGCCTGCAGTCCACTTGTTAAGTTTTATCCTACATTAACACAAGCTGTTATGCTGATTTCAAAACAAAGCAAAACAAAACTGCAGCTTCATGAAACCACCTGCCCAAACAGTTTTACTGTAAGTATTGTTATTATTGCTGCAGAACACTTTACAGTTAAGCAACTTTTCAACATAAACAGTCGCTGTAAATTCTTAATTATATACTCAGATCTAGAATGCACACTGTATGCAAAATTTTTAAAAAAAAGTATCACTCTCACTAATCTTCCACCCATCATCTTGTTGTACTATCATTTGGTTTTCAGTTTCTCACAAAACAAATGCTCACAGTCGAGTAGCTGAAACCAGTTTATTTTAGGCATCTTCAGCTGAAAATGGCTAATTTTAAATGTATTTATTACCCGTTACAATTTATTTATTTATTTAACTGAACTGTAGCCTCTTTATTGGTCAACACATAAGCCTAGTTTATACTTAGAATGGGATAAAAATCCATTTCACAGCATTAATCTACAGCAAACAGTAACAAAGGCAGACTTTAAAGTGCTTTAAAGGGGTGCTCTTAGTTCCTCCTGGTGTTTATAGCTACTGATCCACTCTTGCCGTTGTTAGATGTTTGTCACCTTGTGGTGAACTAAGTAGGAAAAAATTTTAGTTTCCGTCGGATATGGTTTCGCTAAGAGGAGGAAAAGGAAAGGGCTTAGCTACTCGATACCATGTGCCTGCATGTGCTACAGCCTAAACCGCAGGGAAGTAGCCTGTTCTACAACCTGTAAGAATACTGGGACACTGGGGTCACAACATGTCAAAGTTTTACATCTTCCTGTGAAAAAAAATAGCTGAAAATAGGAATCATATAAGCGATCAAAGCCGTTTCTGTGTCACATACTGCTCACGTAGGCATTCGTCCAGCTTGGATTTACCTGTTGCAACTGCGCTACAGTAACTTTCAGGCGCATCGGTTTATATTTAAGAAAGATTCACAACAACAATGGATGAGCACCAGTTTGTTGCCCTGGATGAAACGCATGGTCGTGACATCTGCTCTTGGCGCTCACTCCAGAGGGACCGAGCATGCTATTCTTTCTTTATTGATCACCCCCCTTTTAGGAAACAAAGCTATTGCCTATATATCCAAAGAGTGAAGCTACAATTTCCTTTATGTCTTTTTCATTTCTTTCCCCTTAGGTTACTATATTCCTGCGTGGTTGAATGAAAATCAAAATATTGTAATAAAGGTTTAAAGTATTATTTTACAAGTGTCCACCTCTCAGTGAAGGCAGAAAAAAATATGTCAGTCACAACAAGTAACAAAGCCATTCCCCTAATAAATAAATTAATTAATTAATAAAACAAATATATAAAAAAGACAGGATTGTGATGTCTCACCAAAAGCTCGTGTCACGAAGCTTCCACGATAATTCCGCTGGTAAGTGGGAACAATCTGATGACCACGCTCTCCTTTCGTGCGTTTCGCGTGTCTTTCTTTTCCTCAGGGAAGGTGAGAGTTGCCCATCTATCTGTCTATCTGTATTCGTGGATTTTTACGCACATTTGTACCGTCTCTTTCCAATGCAGTGGCCACAAACTGTTCTTTGCGAGATGGTTTGCATTGTAAAACCATTTGAAGCTCCAACTGTGGGGGTCGTGGTAGGTCCGCCTCCTTTGCAACCCCCGCCGCCCCCGCCGGGTATTTAGCCGCGTTGCTCGATGTAGTTTTCAGCCACTTGGTTCTGTGAGTGAGCCTGTGAGCGAATATGAGAAAAAAAAATCTGACTTTCAGCAGGCAGTGATTACTCAAGTCTTCGGAATGAAGAACTTAACTACACGGCTCTTTAGATCTGTCTGATAATAGAGGAGATATCCTGTTAAGTTTCACATACGTGTCCTAATTGTCTGAAAGCTTTTAAAAGCCCGACAGTGCCAAATACGCGCGTTCATCTTCGTCTCCCTATATTCCGCATACCGTGGTTCCTGCACTGAAAAGCTGTATTAGTACATTATTTTTCTTAAATTGTGTGTCTTGTGTTGGATCCAGTGGTTTCCTCTGCTCGCTCACAAAAAATTGCAAAGGTGAGGAGGTCACTTGTTTGCTTCTGGCACTCAGACAAGTATTTACCAATGGATCACACTTTCTTTTATGTATTTATTTTTCTTAATCTAAATAAATAAATTGATTTTTAGATGTGGCTTTGGTGCAGGTATGAGTTATTAAAGTTTAAGATATCTTAACCTGAAACATCACCAGCCAGCAGCTGCACAAATACAGACAATTATCAGAATTCAGTAGAATAGACCATAAAAGGAAAACAATGAAATACAAAAATAGTGTAGTTGTAGATAAAATATTAAAACATAAAATAAACAAGCCTAGTGTGAAGCAAGAGTTGCAACCCAGATTGGATCAAATAACTGGCTATTACATAGCTTACAAGTATATCATAAAAGGTTATACTGCAGAAATGAATCATGTAGTTTTACACTGTTGCCACGACATTAAATTATTTTAAGCAAAAGACAACCTAAATTAAATGTCACTTTAGCGTCCTCTAGAGGTCATGCTGATTGAAGGAAGATTTAGAGACGCTAATTAACAGATTAATGCTCATTCACACCTCCATAAACACATTCTTAACCCTTACACATGTCTTTGCCTTCACTGTAGGGTCCTGGTGAGTTTTGACCAAAGCCAATAATTTCTTTATAATATTAAAATCTGAACTACAGATCTGTTTAGAATGTATAAACAGCCAACAAATAGATTATTAATTCTTAATGGATGTTTCAGAGAGCAGGGAAACCTTATTTCTGCTTTGTTCAAGACATGAAAACACAACAGCTATAAGGGTTCAAATATATTTTAGAAAGTGAAATGGCGATAACGTTCTGAAAATGCTGGGATTTACTAGACAACCATATAACCATTACTATCATTACTCCTCACTGCTGTTTTCATAAAAACATCACCATAACTACATCTATATGGATATTATACAGGGTTTTATTTTTTATTATTATTATTTATTTTTTTTTTACCATAATCACATCTCAAAAGAGTTCAAATTTGGCCCAAACAGTAAGTAAATGTTAAATGCAGAACAGCTCAGAGGAGCCTCAAAACACAACAATAACAGATCGTGACATTTATACACACAATTCCCCTGACTTTTCAAGAGGACTGAGCATGTATTGGAGTGACTGAAACAATAACCCAGTCTGAGATCACCAATATCCTGCACTAAATGGTGTAAGATGCATATTTTTGAGTGATGCCAAGTTTTCATCTTTTAACAAGTGGGATCACATGATCTATTTGTCATATTTGTCTTACTGCTTAACCATATGTAGAGTTGAATCAGAGAGATTTTAGCTTGACTTTTTCTTCTTATTTGCTATGTGCTTATAGCTATTCTGGTTCAAAATGCTTCACATTTGTTCAGCAGATAGGTGCTAACATTGCAGTTTGGTGCTTAGTGAGCTTTTAGAGCCTTTTCCTGTAAACAGCTGCCTTCATCCATCACACTAGACGTGCTAAATATGGAGCAAAGCAGTAGTTCAAGGCACGGAAGTAATGCTGCCGATTTAGCGATAATCCCCTTGCCAAGAGAATCACTGCCAAGCTTTTTCACATACAACTTCATTAGACAATACCTTTTTTTTTTTTTTTAGCACAAGCTGGCTAACAGATCACTCATTCATTGTGGTTGTGCTTAGGAGAGGAAAGGTGACATATCTTGATTTGATGCTTGCTTCAGATAATCTGCTTAAAGTAATGTTTACATGAAAAGTACAAAACATTTCAACAGACTGATCTGCTGGAACATTTTTAGCTAAACAACTTGCAGTAGTTGACTAAAAAGACAAACAGAAAAGCAGCACTTTGTGTCTCTCACGTATTTCTATAATTATTGTCCCACAGAGATAGGCATCTCTTAAAAAGTCTTTAAATGCTTTCCTTACCAATACAAAAACATGCAAAGTACACATCTCCACTCAATTTCTACAATATTTTCAAGTCTGTTCAGTTTTCAGTTCATTAAAAAAATCATGTGCTGGTTGTTTGTTTTAAAATTGTCATCAAAGATGTAAAAAAGAGACTACTAGCTCTGTGACTGGAACATAATGGTATTACATAAGAGGAGCTAAAGAAAACAGCACTAAATTCTTGCTGACGTACGTCCTGCGCTTGATTTCTTCTACTATTTCCCAGCTGGTTTTCTAGGCGTGGCTTTAGGAAGTGGTGAAACACTTTACACAGCACAGAACATAGGTGAGATATGTAATCAATTTGTACTCTTTCTTGCAATATATGTGTCTAAAAGAAGTGAGTTTGAGGTTCAGGACATTTCTTCCTAAGAAGTGAAAACATCAAAGGATGAAAGATGATGAGAGTCATGAAACAATGAGAGCTATATCGTGTTTCATACGAACTGCTTGCATGCACATGACCAACTCTTTATGTGAAGAATTAATATCACTTTCAAGTTTTTTTTTTCTGTTTTAAGATGTGTGGAGCAATTTGCAGGTTAATGACTGCATAATTTTGTGTTTTGTTTTTGTTGTTTGCCTTTGTAAATCAGCCAGGAAGAACTGCAGGTCAATTTTCTATCTTTGTTTATTACTTGCCAAACTGGATAAATAAACCACAAAACGCAACTTTCAAGTTTTTGACCTTGGACTTCTTTTGCCTGCGTACAAAATATCACCACAGTGCAGCAGTGGTCATCCATCAAAAACCTGGCAATCACAAATTATTGTTTTTCAGAGGCTAAAGTGGTCTCTTAACCATCTAATAATATGTCAAATCTCCAATACAAAGTAATGAACAATGACACAGGACGTTCAGTGGATCAGGTGGAATTACAACTGACAATCAACTGTTTATAAAAAAAACAATTTGGTAATAAAAATCAATAAAGTGTTTTGTCAAAGTTTTATTTACATGTAACATAAGGAAAGACTACAGTGGATTTACTATATAATAAACAATTAAAAAGGGACAATAAGTGTGTCAAAAGAACAGCCAGTAGAGACAGCACCTGCACCATACCGTCAACACAGACTGAAAAAGGATTTTTAATTTTACTATATTTGACTTGGAGAATTTTATTTCATATTGTCCAAACAAAAAGGAACACTGAATTTCAGTTTTGACAACTGGGAAAAATTCTTCAAATGACAAAAAAAAATGAAGCTTCCCAGGTATATCAAGGATTATGAAACAGTGAAATAACACAAAGCATTGTGGCATTTTTAGGGAACCATGGGTATATCCAGAGTAAGGTGGTATTGTATCAGTATTGGTTTGTGCGCAAATACGATTGCATTCAATTCATGTGGTTGAATTGTCACATCAATATTTTTCCC